TGGTTCTTTTTTTAAGTCACATTCCTTCAATGAATAACAGAAAGGTGCCATGCCAATGTGAGGTATGAAGCACTTCTGATTAATGTTCAACGTGTAGGGCTTTGCCTTCTCCAGAAATGACTCAAGAGAAGCTCTTTGGGACTTGTGCAAACATCACTTTGCTATTCTTAAAGTAGCTGGGCTTGTTTCCAAATTTCTATATAAACCTGAAAAAATGTGGGTGCTCCCAGAATGAGCAGAAATGACATGTTCATTCTCATGAGGTGTAAAACATTTCTACTAAAATTCTAAAGCATTCTTTTAAAGCATTGTTTAGTATTTAAAGAGAAAGGCAGCTTTCATTTTTGGAATATCATACAAATAGGGCTACCAGATCTGAGCCGCAAAAATCTGAAAGAGCAATAGATATCAGTAAAAAATTAACATGTTCTTTATTCCTTTACTGTCGTCTTTTGATCTAGATTCCTACCATTCAGATCTAGCAATCTGTCAACTCTCTAACGCTGGTAAGGCCAGCAGATACCACAATAATTGTAATAATTGTATTACCTCCTTATTAACTTTGTGTGTGTGTGTGTGTGTAACCATACTCACATTATTTAACTTTATTAATTGGTTAACATTATTTAACTGGTGGTGCCTGTAAGGCTCTTGTCCATACAATGAAATGAACAAACAGTTTGGGAAAACATTTAAAGCAACTGAACATAGCAGTTCAGTGACATGGCTGCTTTTACAAGAGGTCTACTCAGTTCATTCTACAGCATGGGTGTCAACCTTGCTGGCGGGCCAGATCCAGTACATGGGGGGCTTAGATCTGGCCTGCAGGTCTGGCCTGGAAATATCAAAGCACCAGCCTGTGGTGCTTCAGCCAGACAAAACAGCCATGGGGGGGGGGGTGTCATGAGGGACCCCCGCCTGGCCCATTTTTGGCCTGGACAGCTTCTGCAACATACTGCCAGCCAAAAACAGAGCTCGGGAGAGCCGCACGCACCCTGCCTGGGCTCTATTTTCGGCCTCCATGGCCTCCTGCAACATTCTGCCAGCCAAAAATGGGTTACAGTTTGTTGATAAGCTGTCATATATATAATGCCAAAGTCTCAAGTTCTAGTATCTGCCATAACACGTTCAGCATTCCTGGACAGAGCTGTTATCATAGTTTGATGTATTGTCTAATATACTTCCTAAAGAAATTTATTACTACATAATAGTTGTACAATTGCAAGATCAAGCCAGAATCTCAGTACTGGTATGTGTTTTAATCTAAGCAATGTGTTGCATTAAAGATCTACATTTAACTAGATATCCAACAAATATCACATCCAGCCTTATTAGCCGGAAGAAAGAATCACCAAGGATAAAGCCTAAGTGAATATTAAAGAAATACAAGATAAAAAAGAAAAGTGAACCTCCAAATTTAATTGCATCTCAGACAAAAGCATTTAGTTCCAAAATTCAAGATGTCCCATATTATAGAAGATAATATGAAGTTCCTTTTTTCTGCATTGCAACTAGCGGTGGTATTCACTTACCTTCTCTACCGGTTCACAAAAGTGAGTTTGGATAACTGTATACCATACCCGTTTATATTGTTGTTCCTGGTTCTCCTGGTGTGTTTTATCATACACGCTTGAGGGTACAGAATAGTACAACATATGCATTGTAATTTTTTTGACATATACCCTCACAAGAATAACATGCTGCTTTGATTAATAATTTACATCTAACTTCTTGTATTCTTTCAATCCTCTCACTTTTCAAATGCTAATCCTGAATAAATATTTTTTTAAAATATTTTCAATAGCTTGCTATCGTTCTCTCTTTACCTCCGAGACAGTACCTGGCTTAATAAGGTTCTGGTGCTTGCAGTGAACAATGGCAGCAACTATCAGTTCTTTCAGGAGATGAAGAACTTTGCCTGGCACAATATGTCCCCTGGAATCGGCATCATCCACAGCACTGAACACATCTTGTTTGGTCCAATTTTCCAGATTGGTTCCTTGCTTGGGTACCCCTAAATAGCATGGCCCCGGCATCTGGCAATTCCTATGAGTAACATTCTCAGAATTACTTTGTTCATCTGTACATGGTTGCAGCAGGAGGACCTCAGCATTGACACATAAGGGAACCTCCATGGTAACTTCATCTTCTGCGGCGGAGAGGGAAAATTCCAAGGCTTCCAAGTTTCTTGAATAATCGACTATAATTCTAGGATCCATTGTCTTGACTCTTTCCAGTACAATAAACAAAATGTTTTCTGCCTTTTGAAAATGCTGCACTCTTTGATATTCACGGGACTGAATCACCTGAAGATAGCTGTGCCAGTTAGGAACCTTGTCTGCCATGATGGAAGATTGGCAGAGATGAAATTCCTCCTGTAAATCCTCTTGTGGCCCAAGGTAGCTCTGGAAGCAGACAAAAACATTGGCACAGCACTGAAAAAGCCATGATATGCATAGAGGTGGGAGGGAAAGGTGTGGCCAGGAGGACTAGAGCAGGGAGGAGCAGCATACGCAGTAAAATTCCACTCATGCATTAAAAATACCCTCCCGTTTCCCTGTTTCATAGTTGATAAAGTGCCAAGTTATTTTAAAACAGCCAAACTGGTATGTTCAGATGATACATCTGAGGCATCCGGTTGTCTCAATATTATTTTCTGGTACATCAGACTTGTCCTACCCAGCTAGCCTGAAAAACTGGGTTTACTGGAATAAATCCGTACAGATTAAAGTGGGGCTAATCCAGCTGTATTGACCCAGTGTTCAGTTCCCATTCAATCACAAAGCTCATCACAACAGTAGTCACCATCTCAATAGACTTTGTGGTAAAGGAAAATTGTATACATCAACTTAACTCCTGGGTTATGGGTTATGGACTAATGAAATATAAACAGGCTATCAAAGTAATACTGCCAAGGGTAATTCTCCTATGATTGTGCAATGATTGTGGTGGTCACCCACACCTTAGTGGCCTCACATTTGGACTGTTGCAATATGTTCTGCATGCAGCTGTCCTTGAAGTTGCAGTTGATCCAGAAGGTAGTAAAGCAGGTAGTTATGGACACAGCTTGTTACACCCATGTGACACAATTACTCAGCAAGCTGCACTGGCTCCCAGTAGGCTTCTGGGTGAAATTCAAGCTGCCAGTTAAAGTCCTACATGACATGGGGCTGGATTACTTGTGGGACACCTTCTCCAAAGACCATCTATCCACCACACATACTTCCATAGGGATCACACATTTTCTACCATTATCTCGGTTAAACTTTGCCCTCTTATTGCACCTTTTTGATGGATGTCCCTGTGCTCTTTAATGGTTTCACTCTGCTGCCCTAATACACAATAGTCACCCCAAATTTGTTTGCTGTTTTATAAGCCATCAAAACCTAGTTCTCTCCCTCCCCCCAGCCATTAGAGTCCAGTTGAATGGAATCCCCTTTTGGTTGTTTTAATTATTGTGTTCAGTTACCATTTCATATTTTATATGTTGGGTTGATTTTTTAAAAATGTTGAGCAACTATGGTTTTTTTTTCCTGTTTACTATTTGTTTTTTGTTGCATGTCACCCAGTCTCATTGTTTGAGTTGGACGCCCTATAAAAACATTGAATAAATAAATTAATAAAATGAATCATTGAACAAATTAACTCAGAACTTTCACTGGAACTATAAATAACCAGGCCTAAATTATCCTGTGTTACACATATTGTGCAAAGACCAAATTCTCTGGTGAAGGTACTAATATTGGGAAAGATGAAAGGAGAAAGGAGAAGAGGCTGATCAACAGCAAGGTGAATGGGCTCAGTTACAGTAACAAAGAGTGCACTTCTGAAGATCAGAAAGATCAAGATAGGGGCAGACCATCCTAGAGAAAATGTATGTGCTTGCTAGAAGTCAACAACGTAATAGCACATAATCAATTGCTTGTTACAATATATATCAATGTAAAAAACCCTCAAAGATACCAAACAAAATTAAATCTACTAAATTTAAAAAAGTTATGTAAAAAGATCACAAGAGAAACAAGTGTTTCAGTTCTGAGAAAACAAGTCTAAGATTGCATTATATCACATTGTCTTCAAGAACGTTATACACTAGTGATTTTATATAATGTACTTTAAATGTTTCTTTTTATGTTTTGCTTTACATTTAATTCAAATTTTTGAAGAAAAAAAGCCTCATAACATTGATTTTGATTTTAAAAAAATTGCTCAAGAGCCAGACCTTGATGTATTTACTGTATTTTTTTTAAAGGGAAATATCAAGAAAAGGGAAATATTGTCTATACGGCAATTGATTCCTTAGAGCAACCTTTTCCAATCTGCTATCTTTCAGGTAAATTGGACTTCAGCTCCCAACAGCTATTGCTTATGCTAATAAGACTTATGGAAATTATGGCTCAATAGGAAACATATGGACCCACACATGCTGCTTAAAAAACACTTTTTTTAATGAATGCAATGCTGAAGGTACACTGATTTAATATTTATGTTGAAAGCCACTTCACAAATACTGCTAATAAATTCTTCACGAATTGTCTACACATTTAATTATCCCCATCATAAATATGGAAATAAAATGCAGTATGATTAATCAAACCTATTTCCTAGAATATCCTGCATAACTATGATGCATTAATAAGGACATGAGATTAATGTTGCACCCAAAAATGACTGTTAAAAAAAAAAAAGATTCAATCGCTAAAGTTTTCCGCCTAAATATACTGTCGTGTAGAATAGTAAAAGGTGGTGTCGAAAGTTCTGTGGATGTGATTCTTGGTTCAGATTGTCTTCTAGATAACGTCCAATTGTCCTGTGAACAGAATATCTCCTGTTCTCTTTGCAGCCTGACCTAGGAAAACAGTTCGGTTTGCCGCGTCTCTTGTCACCGTGGCAACCCCGGGGTGCATTCTATTTCTATGACAACATGAGGGACTCGGCGTTCTCATTGCCTTAGCAACTTGAGCCAGGTCTCTTACACACCTCCTCCGTTCTAAAAGGTAGCGAAGAAGGATCAACAGTCACTGACACCGGATTAGTTGGGACACAAATATGCATGCACTTCTCTTGTTCTGCGTGTAGCGGGAAGTCTTGCTAGCCTAGCGTTGGTTTCCCTCTTCGGGCCCGGCCCGGTTTTGAGCGATGAGCGAGGGAAATGTGGAGAAGCCAAGTTTAAGGTTGGAAGCCGCAATCCAGGTTAGTGAAAGAACAGCTTTTTAATACCTCCCGTGAAACCCCTTGCACCGGAGACAAATTCTTTGTGTGTCCAATCACGCTTGGCCAAATAAAATATTCTAATTGATTAATTTCAAAGTAAAATGGGACTAAGCTCACCCACTCCTACCTCTCAATATTCCATTCCTAAGGAACACCTGCGGGAGGGGAGGAGAAGAAAGGGAATACGTGACGGCATAATTCAGATGTTCAGCTTGGGTAGTGAAATAAGGGGGGTGGGAAGTTAGTGTGCTCCCCTGCAGTTTTTTTTTTCTGGACAAAATACTGCTGATGGAATGCTGAGTTTGCTTTTTTTATATAAAAAGACTGTAATAACCTTTTAATGATTTTAATGACTTTATTCTATAAGTTTCAGTTTAACTGGTCCCTTGATGCAAGTGCCAGTGTAATAATTAGAATATTGACCTAGGAGTCAATAATTCCAAATTCTACTCTCTCAGTCTCAACGTTTGTTGGAGGGTAATGAGCTGCAATATCTTTTACCCCGTTATTATGAGAATAATGTAAGTGAAGGACCATATACATATTAATGTCGAGGACTTGGAAAAGGGAAATAGACTGTGGTTTCTTAAGTAATTTCAAATTAAAGGGAGAAGCTGTATGAATAAGATTAATTTCTCATGCTTTTTCTATATGGAACATTTATAAGAAAAGTTTGATGTCATGGCCAAATTAAATTGGAATGCAGGAAAGTTGTGTCAAGTATTACAATAGATAGTTTATAGAAACCATGAGGCCAGTGTTTCTCAACCTTGGGAACTTTAAGTCCTGTGGACCTCAACTCCCAGAATCCCCCAGCCAGCGTAGGGAAATTCTGGGGAATTCTGGGAGTTGAAGTCCACAGGACTTAAAGTCCCCAAGGTTGAGAAACACTGCATGAGGCCATATTTAGCAAAGATTCTGCTGGTAAGCATCTTAACGTAGAAGTAGTTTAGTTATTTGTAGTTTTGTATATTGTAAACAAAATTATTGTAGTTTGTCACTTGATTTATGGGAAAAGGGCTAAAGTTTTTTTTAGGTTAGTAGGCTTTATAAACCCACTCAATTTTGTTTATTCAATAAAGCATAATTAAGTAAATTAACATATTATGTGAATACATTCTTATGCCTACTATTATGATCCAGAGTCAGCCATATCAATGTTATTTATCTTCAAACTATTTGTAATCTAAAGAGCACTTGATATTTATTATATAGTCATAAACTTTGTCAAATGTTGCATGCCCTGATGTTTAAAAATATAATAGGTAACATCAGTAACAATTAGTATTTTTTTTTCTTACATGGAGTAAAGTTGCCTTGGATCTTATGGAGTTGTCAATATTTTAAATACGCTAGAGGGCAGTAAGATTTAAGGATTGTGATTAAGAACAAAAGAGTAGTGAGTGCAAGAAAATTGCTTTCCAAGTAACCAAACAATTAACAGCAGCATTCTTTTATGCAAGTTTACTCAGGAAGCACATTGTGTTAAATGGGACTCATTCCCAACCATGTATAGAAACGATTGCAATTCGGGGGTGCAATTTCATAGTGCTTTAAATTGCAATGATTTTTATTGAACTTAACTAGACTTCTCAGTGAACATCCATAGAATTCAGATGCATATAATTCAAACTTCTCATTCACTGTGTACAGTTCCATTGGGAATATAAAATTAGATCACCACAGAGGAAACCAAACACATATCCTCTCCTAGAATAATTTGCAAAACAAATAATAACCTTGGAGTGTACATTCTAATTTTAGCAGTATTCAAAAATTGTTTAGAAAGGCAGATTCTTCACACATATTCCACTTTAAATAATTGCAAATAAGTTGCAAGTCTCTCTCTGTATATTGTTCAGAATAAACATATATAGGCTAGATCTGCTTAACCAGTATTCAGACTCCACCATTATATTGTACAAACCTAGGAACTGTTAATAAAGCCAGCATTTTCAATAGAAATAACATAAGCAAGCTTTAGTTAATTGTGAAGGACTCCAAAGGAGCCAATTCTTAAATAAAGTACTTAAATTAGATTGCTCTTAGAAAAAGGGGACAAGAAATCTTTGAAATATAATTGAGTATTCTGCTATACGTGTAGTACAGGTAGTCTTCAACTTACAACAGTTCACTTAGTGAGTGTTCAAAGTTACAACGGCATTGGAAATGTGACTTATGACAGTTTTTCACACTTAATGACGATTATTGCATCTCCATGGTCATGTGATTTACATTTGGATGCTTGACAACTGACTAATATTTATGACAGTTGCAATGTCCCGGGATCACATGATTCCCTTTTGCAACCTTCTAACAAGCAAAGTCACTAGGGAAATCAGACTCACTTAACAACCATGTTACTAATTTAACAGCTCCAATGATTCACTTAACAAATGGGGCAAGAAAAGTCAGAAGATGGGGCAAAACTCAGCTAACAAATTTCTCACTTAGCAACATAAATTTGGGGCTCAATTGTGGTTATAAGTTGAGGACAACCTGTACAACTGTTTAACATAACATCCAGTTTATGATTCCTATCAAAAAGGGTACTTTCCAGAGTAGAGCATAAAACCTTTTGCGCCGTAATTAGTTTTTCTATCCTAATTGAAATGTAATACATTTGATATTAATGATGTGATCACAGTTATTACTAATCTATGTTGGTCATAGAAAATAAAATGTCAGCTTTCTACTGTACTAATATACAAACTACCAAATAGTATTCTAGCTATTTAGTATGTTGTATTAACCCAATCTGCCAACATAGCAGTTCAAAAGCACATAAAAATGCAAGTAGAAAAATAGGGACCACTTTAGTGGGAAGGTAACAGCATTCCGTGCGCCTTCGGTGTTTAGTCATGCTGGCCACATGACCATGGAGATATCTTCGGACAGCACTGGCTCTTTGGTTTTGAACTGGAGATGAGCACTGCCTCCTAGAGTCAGGAACGACTAGCACATATGTGTGAGGGGAACCTTTACCTTTATGAACCCAACCAAGAATATTGTTCAGTGTAACTAATAGAATACCGTTTTTTTTTCGGAGTATAAGATGCACCTTTTTCTCTCAGAAAAGAGGCTGAAAATCTGGGTGCATCTTATACACTGAGTACAGCATTTTTTTTGCCTCCTGAAACCCCACTCCCTTCACCAAAATGGGCATGCATAGCCTTTAAAAGACTTTCAGAGTGCTCCTGGGGGCTAGGGAGGGCAAATATGAGCAAAACATGGGCCATTTTTTCCTCAAATTTGCCCCCCCCCCCAGCACCCAGGAGCAGTCTACAAGCCTCCTAAATTCATGTCCTATTTTTGAAAAGGGGGGGGCATTTTCATGAAAAACGGGCCATTTTGGGAGATCTGCAGAGTGCAAAAACTTTTTAAAAAAATTTGCCTCTTCAAAATCTTGGTGCGTCTTATACTCCGAAAAATACAGTAATTAATTTTATAAGCTATGACTAAGTGAACAATTGGTAAGTATGTCATGGGAACATCACTTCAAAGTTACATAAGGATTATATTTGTGTGATACTTATTGGTGGGTAGCGCTTTCTTTCACTTTTTGTGAATGAACAGTGTTGCTGTTACTTCGACCTGATTTATTTTTTTCCATAGTTGCTCCATTTGTGCCAGCCTTTCCCCTATTGCAAAGGGTGCAGCTCTCTCCATAGTCCCTTTTCAGAGGCTCCGTGATACAGCTGTAACTCATTACCAAACTAATTTTTTTTTAATCTGTGCCTTTGCTGATAGGCAGCTTGACTGTTACAGTTATACAACTGGCATTTTTGCAACTCTCGCATTTTTTATATTCAAGCACAGCATCTGTTATGTTCAAAAGCAGAAAGGCTAAAATGATTTAGAATGAACCGTACAAGTTGCTAAAGGGAGATGATTCCCTTACAAAACTATGTATTCCTCGGGGTTCTTTTTCCTGCAAATTTTACAACGTTAGCTATCATGTGCATTATGTTGCTAGTCCAATGTTTCTCAATCTCAGCAACTTTAAGATGTATGGACTTCAACTCCCAGAATTCCCCAGGTTGTGGGATTTGAAGTCCACACATCTTAAAGTTGCTGAGACTGAAAAACGCTGGGGTATTGTAGTATTTAATTAGAATATAACCTTTGGGTTGTTTCTTTACAGTTATCTTTCTTTTACTCGTATTTGAGAAAGGTTAAGAGATTAAATAAGATGTTCAATCTGTCCCTATCTCATACCAAGAATGACACCCAGAAAATATACATTGATTTTACAGATGGGTATATAATTACAATTCTTTTTCATGATAGGACAGTATGTAGATAATACATCTATGACTACACATGTGCATGCAAACACAATGAGTACATTCCTAATACAACATGCTTCTAAGTTTCTCAGGGATAGTATTATGTCGACCTATTGAAACAAGTGAAATCTCCAAAATATAGCAGAGATCAGATCTGGATAACACACTACACCTAGTTTGAGTCCAAATTTGCAATTATAGCAAAATAAACTATATTGACAGAGAATTCTAGTATCTAGGTGTGTCTGAGCAAGAAATCAATGAACCGTTGATTTTGCATATAGCAAATCAGAGGTCGTATTCTACCGGTTTGGACCAGTTAGGCCAAACTCGTAGCGGAAATCACAGGTGGCTCCATCCACCCACCTTGTCTCTACAGCATCCCATTTAGGGGATCCCATTTTTTTTGTCAAAAGCGCATGCGCAGAAGGCTGTGCAAGCGGTCACATTTGCGAACCTCTAAACACAAAACAAAATCACTTCCCCCCCACCCCATTCCAATTTCTTAATAAATTACCCCAGGCATTCAGTAATCATAAGAGTAGAATAATGGCTATGTTTGTATGCTAATTAGCAGAAGAAGCATTTCTTTGTCAGATATTGATTTCTGACGTGCTTGGGATTCAATGTATTAAACTATATTCAGTGAACACCTGGTTTGCTATATTATTTCTGTCACACTGCATACAGAAAGGCTTCCCTAACACTTCTCTTCTGATTTTTAGATTCTCGTTTTTTAATATTTTATACTGTATATGTCTCAGATATACAGTATGTGCCTTTTTACATTTTACACTTTAGTTTTTTACTTTATTTTTCTTCCTAATAATTGTCTGTACCTCAATCCCTTAGATGACCTAGGATAATAAAGACCCAGTTTGATTTGTTACCTTTATCATTTTAAGGCAGGTAATAGAAATCCAAGAAATTGAGAGATCATTAGAGACAAAATTCAGAATTACATAAGCACATAAAGCACATTGCCACCAGCCTCTTGATCTTCTTTTCTTTTTTTAATTTCCAGGAGAGACTTTTAAATACAGAAGTGGTTTGGTACCTGTACTGTATTTTATTTAATTACCCAAAATATTCTTACCCTATAAACACAGTAGAGCTGCACCAATGAAGTATCATTGTTACAGCATCATTACACAGAGAGATACCTTTGTCAACAAGATGAGAAATGTTTCTATTTACTGTAATCTGCTTAAATACCAAATCTCATCGTACTTTACAAGAGAGTCATAAATTGCTAGCATCTCCTGGGATAAATTAAACTCTTCCTCTGTACTTGTCCTGAACCTTAAAGGCAATAACACACCAGGGAATAATATATTTCAAATAGCAACAATATTGCTATTTGACCAAAAATGCACTCTCTGAAATTTTATAGATAAATATAAGGTCGGGAGCACGATTTTCAGTAGTGGTATGTTGATATAATTTCTTGATGGAATACAACAGGGAGAAGAATCCCAAATTCCAGGAACATTATTTCATTAGAGTACAACATGTTATAGAAATGAAATCCTTTTCAAAAGCAAAAAAAAAAAAAAAAGCACCGAAGAAAACATTAGTATATAAAGCACTTACAATATGCATATAATTATATACTAGACAATATATGCCTTACTAATTCAATTTATGTATAAAATAAGATGGCCTCATGTTTTAATATAAATGAATGTATTTCTTTAAAAACAGTGTTCTTATATGTATTTGTTTAGCTTAATTACCACAGATAAGAATGTTGCTATAATAAATACCAAGTGAATATCAACAAGGAACATGAACATTCTTTAGTATATTACATGTGTTTTGGCATAGATAAAAAGTAAAAAAATAAAGGATTCCTATAAAGCCAAAACAAAGCACAGTAATTATTTAACTTTGTAAAAATTTATAAATTGGTCAACAGGCATAATGTGTAAAGCTAAGTTAGTTCAAAACAACTCATGATTTACAAAAAATTGTGAACTGAAGGGGCAAAATACTTAAAGGAAAAGTTGACTTTAAAATCAGAGGTAGATTCTGAATGTCTTCATCTGGTCCCTTACACTATTCTGTGGTAAAATCCATTTGCATTTCTTTTAGTAAATAGTCTCAGTTTTCCTTCAAAAATGTTTTAAAGTCAAAGGACAAATGTGTAATATTTTGTCTAAAAACATTTCTCTAAAGAAACTCCTGTTTGGCACTGCCAAAATGTTCTTTTGTACTGATCATTAAAAGTTTAATAGTTGCTATTAAATAGGTACTATATGCATACACAACACAAGGAGATAACTGTAAGGAAGTCATTTGCCCTTTGTGCTTTCTGTTTTTAAAAAAATAATAATCTGAATGTTGTCAGGTATTCTCTGGAATTCTCTCATCTAACTAGTCCTGACTCCACAAAAGACTTATTCTGAAATACCCCTAACTATGGCATAAGCATGCCCTACTAGCCTTTTTGTATATGACATATTCAGGAGCCTTCCCTTTCTTTCATCCATAGCTATAGCAAAGTCTTTACATATTCCAAGTTTAAAGTAATATTTTTACTGTGGTTAAGTTTAGGATGCTTCATCAACATGATGATAAATGGCTGGGGTCCAAATGCCCAGATCTTGTGCAATGCCTAAACTCATTCTTGTCACTGAGTTTAGACAAGCTGAATACATACTAAACTGAGAGGGTAAAGCTGAACTATGATGCTGGCTCTACTCCCAGACTTGCAAAGTTCCCCATCCCCACCTCTTGCTAGCCATATATTATAGGTTGCTGACTGAGAAGAGTAAGACTATGCAACTAAATTCCCATGAATCCTGGAGTCAGGTTGTGCAGCACTCCAGCAACTATAGAAACCTAGAGAGAGAGAGAGAGAGAGAGACCTTCATGCCTATATTCATAGGTATGGAGGAGTGTTTCCAAGTAATCCATTTTCCATCAATGGCTGACTAAAATCCAACATGTTTTTCAGCCTGGCTTTGATGTTTGAGTGTATTTCAGACCCTAGAAGATACAGTACTGCATCCCAGAGCAAGCAGAGATGACAAAGCATTGACTGTGCGAGGGGAAGGAGAAAAGGCTGCACCTGTAACGATCCCAGCCAGAATTCGACAGATTGTTACAGAAAGTTTATCTGATCCATCAGGTACTGCCTTAAATTTGACATCCCTTTAACAGTTAATGTGTGTGGATTTAAAAGCAGGGAAATGGCACCAAGGCAGAAACTCATAAATTGATATTAGGAGTGGATTGACTTCCTAACCAGATGTGTATTGGATGTGTTTCTCCAGTATCTCCCAGAATCTCCTCCACAAAGAATGTAAAAAGAGAGCTAGTCATCTATTCTTTCCAGTAAAATGTTTAATTTCCTCTGGTTCCCTGGCAGAGTATCAATTAGGTGGCTTGGAAAAGTGACTGGATCCATTTCTGCGCTGTCATTCCCAATCACTCCTTAAACGAGCATAAGCCATTTCTATAATAGCCTACAATGATCCTGATTGCACCAAGAGATGAGTAGCAGTTCCTCCACGACCAATGAGGGAATGTAGAAATTGGCGAACATTACATCTCAGGTCTATTGTGGAAAGGACAAAACCCATGTTGATGCTCAGTACCCATCACATATTTTATAGTCATTAGCAAAATAGTTTTAGTGCACAACTACTTCTCATTTGTTTTTTTACAGGAAGGCTAAAGGAGTTGTGATAAGAGGTTCTATGAAACTGGAAACAGCAAACTCTTTCAGGGGCTCTTTCAAGAAGAATGTGTATTCAAAATAAGGAAGCAAATCTTCATATACCATAAACCTGAAGGCTGGGTTGATATTTTTTTTCCAGGCTTAGTTTTCCTTAGGTTCTCAATTTTGCAAATTTCAGAAACTATGTGAAAATGTCTATGAACATTTAACATCATTTCATGTGCATTTCTCTGTAGGTATGCATCCTTGTGAACATCTTTTCTACTATATTCACTTTCAAATTATTCTATATTCAAATTGTTCTATGAATTGAGGTTGCTTTGATGTAGTCTGTCTAATCAAGTTGTCAGCGTTCCAAATATCATGCAGAATTAAATCAGAGTCAAAGGCAAAACTATGCTTAAAGTTCCAATTTAATAAG